GCATGTGTGTGTGTGTGTGTGTGTGTGTGTGTGTGTGTGCAGCGACACTCCAAGACCAAACAAACGCCGCAATATATCATCTTTTTTTCTTCACCCAACAACACCCCTCGGGGCCTGTGCTCGCCCGATCTCGCCTGCCTTTCCTCTCCTTCTTCCTCTTTTTTCCTCCCACCTGCCCACCTGTATTCGCTTGGCTCCCACTTCCGGAGGAGCCCGAAAAGGGATGGCCTGGAACAACTGGCCGGAGGAAATGCAGTCCCCGCCCCTCCCCCCCGGAATGCAGTGTCCCCATCGGACATGCATTTAAAGGAGCAGCTCTCATTTGAGTGAAGGGGGTCCTCTCTCCTTCTCTCTCCCTCTCTTTCTCTCTCTGCCTCTTCCCTCTAAAGCCACGACACCCTGGCAGGGGACACACACACACACATACACACACACACACACACACACACACACACACACCTCATCTAATTGGGTACATTCGGGGAGAGAAAGAGACTAGGAGAGGAAGCACATGTCGCAGCAATGTCGGGGTCAGGATGATAGATTGCGCGGGTGGACAGGGGCAGATGGGAGGCCTCCTCCGACGCCGGTCGCCTGTCAGCGATCCTTCTTGTCCTTCGTGGGCGCGGAATCCTCGTCCGGCAAATCGAGGTTCCACCCGGCAGCCGGCCAGGAGGCATTCGAGTCGTCTTGCTCATCGAGATTGCGCTTGATCTCGTCCACCTGCCGGCGGCGATCATCCAACAGGTCCAGGTCCTTGAGGCGCTTCAAAAGTTCCTGATGCTTGGCAGCACTTGCCTCGGGCGCCTGCGAAGATGCCTCTTCCAAATTTTGCCGAATTACCTCCAAAAGCTCGCGACGCTCCTCAAACAAGGTGTCCAGCTGCCGATTCCGGTCCTTGATAGCCTGGCTGATCTTGTGGTCAACCGGGCCGCGTTCTTGGTCAAGCGCCTCGGTGTCAGCGGCCGAAGAGGAGGAGGACTCCTGGCGATCGCCAGAGCGGGCTTCCGGGTTGTCAAGCTGTTGGGCCTCCTCGAAGCGGCGTCGGACTTCGTCCCCGATGCGCTGGCGATCCTCATGCATGAAGCCCGGGCCACCGGTCGAGCCCTTGATCGCTTGGCGGATGGCCTCCTGGGTTTCGGCCCGTGCGCGGGCCCGCTCTTCGCGTTGGCGGCGGATCTCCTCCACATAGGCAGACAGCCCGGCCGTGTGCTCACTCACCGCCTTCGGGATGTCCTTCGTGGCCAGGTCTAGCACATACTGCAGCAGAGCCCCGGAGCCACGAATGATGCTCCCAGCCAGGGCGGTGACCTTGCCGCCGTCGGCAGACACCGTGTTGGCCAGCGAGTCGGCCATTGCCTGGATGATGGCTGGACGTGCGGGGCACCGAGCGAGAGGGGGAGGGAGAGGGGGAGGGAGAGGGAGAGGAAGAGGGAGAGGGAGGGAGAGAGAGGGAGAGAGAGAGAAAGAAAAAAAAGAGAAAGAAAAAAAAGAGAAAGAAAAAAAAGAGAAAGAAAAAAAAAGAGAAAGGAATCGGTGAGTTCGGTATTCGTCTTGTGGGGCGAATGGCAAGGAAGCACACACGCACAGATGCCCGTGTCCTTGATGCTCTGGTCGAGCAGCTCCGGCGTCTCATTTTGGAGGATGCCCGAGAGCATGCTACGCGTGGAGAAGGGAGCGAGCAGCCACGCAGGTCAGGTACAGCGAAAGGGCAAACAAGGAAGAGGAAAGAATGTGCGAGGGAAAAAGCAACCGCAAAAGCAGGGGGACAGGGAGGCCGAGAGGAAAGGGAGGGAGGAAGGGAGGTTAGACGACGCACTCGTCAGCGCTCTTGCCCTTGATCTCCACGATGAGACCACGGCGTTGGCTCTTGCGCACATGCCCCAGAAGCGGGGTCGTCGTCAATAGCGGACGGATGGGCGTAAAATGGGGGCGATGCCGGTCCATCATGATATCATTGGCCGTGGTGCCAGGCTGTTGATGGGGGGGGGGACGACCAGGGGGTGGAGAATGTCAGAGACCGAAAGCAGAGGCAGGCAGCAATCGAGGAAGAAAGGAGGCAAAGAGAGCCCTGGCCAAGTTCTGTTTCTCGCTCTCTCTCCCCCCTATCACCAACGTACCGGGCCAAAGACACGCAGAACGCCAAAGCAAATCTTCGGCACCGAGTGGTTAGCCCGAAGCTTGGGGTTGATCATGCTGTGAAAGCGATCCATCTCCCAAAAGATGCCGGCGCACTCGTAGCGCAGATCCGGCTCCAGGGTATCCTCCGGGCTGCCGGGCTTCGGTGGCCGGTCGTAGTAGTTCGGATTGGGGACCAGGTTGTTCAGGAGGAAGCGCACGATCATGGAGTCGTCCAGCTCCGGGCGCAGGTCCGGCGAGAATGGCCGCCGACGGGGAGGCACCCCGAACAGGGCAATGTGCTTGGCAATCAGACACCGAATGCCGACCGTCGACTCGATGTGGCGGAACACATGGCTGAAGGGGAACTTGTCCTGCGAGCGGTGCTCCAGCGCCAGCAAGTCCGAGTAGATGTCCTCCTCGGGATTCAGCGGCCGCGAGGGGTCCAGCACAATGTGGCCCTTCTTGGCGCGCCAACGCCGCCGGGCCAGCTCCCGGAACTCGTCATTGGACAAGCCGCCCAGGCTAACGGGCGAGGCGTCGGCAGCGCCGGCCCCGATGTCCGGCACCCCGGGAGCGGGGATCGCCGCGCCGGCGGCCACCGCATTCCAGATGCCCCCGAGGGCACTGCCGGAGGGGACATCCGGGAAGCCGGTCACCAAACCGAGGGCGGCCGCGTGTGCCGGCCGGCCAACGGGCGGCGCCATGGCGGACGGCTCGTCAGGACCATGTGCGGGCAGATACCCGGCCGCCTTGTAGGCCAGCCACGGGGCGGCGGCCGCCAGGGGGATGAGGGCGGCCGAATATCTGAGCATCGGCGAAAGGTGTCTGCTGATGCGCGCGAGGATGCCGAGGTGCAAAAGGGCGGCAGGGACGGGGGGGGGGGGGGGGGGGGGGGGGGGGGGGGGGGGGGGGGGGGGGGGGGGGGAAGACCGGCGCACGACCGCGTGAGTGGAGGGAAGGGAAAACGGAGGAGAGATAAACGGAGAAAGAGGTAGTGGATGGCCGAATCGGCGGATTGCGAAATACCCGGACGCGCGGCCGAAAAAATACCCCAGCCCATCGTAATGGGCGTGGTGGCCCGACGTACACCGGCTGCTGCCCATTTAGGCTCGGATGACCCAACGTGCGACCTGCTCTCGGCCGGCCACCGGGGGGGGTGGGGGTGGGGGCAGGGCGCGTGTTGACGCACCCGCGAGCCAGCCCCCCTCTGCCGGCCCCCCACACTGCAGGAGACAGGGGGACGGGGGCCCGCAGGGGAGGCGCACAAGTCCGATCAGGACACACGGAAAAGCTTCTGGAAGTGTTGACGCGCGTGCGTTGGCATGCGTTGGCGGTATCACGAGCGTCCGATTCACGGACGTGACCAGCCCCGCTCACGGTGTCACCTGCCCCTGGTACGTACATTTCTCGGTAGGGTTGCGCTCTCCTCCGCCCCGCTTGCTCTGCCCTCCCCCCCCCCGCGGTAGACAGAACGGCGGTGTTTGGGACTCCAACAAGGCCGATGCGCTCCTGCGGCGCCTCGCTGTTGGGGAGGGGACCCAGGGAGCCGGTGTTGATGGGCTGGCGTGCTTGGAAAGGCGGGCCTTGCCCCGGTTCTCATGCCTGGTGCCTCCTTCCATCCTCCCAACCAAAGATCATCGCTGCTCCCTCCCTCCCCCCCCCCCCCTCCCCCTGCTGCCTCCCCTTCCCCCTTCATTTCTCCCGCCCCCCTCTCTGTGGATCGCGCTCTCCCTCCTTTCGTGATGGCCTCCTTCGTACGTCACACTCGCTCACATGGCTGGTTGCCCCTGCGCCAGTACAACGCCCCGACATCCAAGCCCGGGTCTCTCTCTCTCTCTCTCTCTCTCCTGACATTCTCACTTTCACTGGGCTCTCCTGGCCTCTGCTCTCCCCCCCCCCCCCCCCCCCCCAGTCTGAGCCCTTCGAGGAGACCCTGCGTCGCTTCTCTTCCCGGCCAGATGTGGCCGGGGTTGTTGTTCTGTCAACCAGCCCGCCCAAGCACTCGGCAGCCACAGACGACTCGACGCCCTCGGCCACCCCGGCCCCGGGCCGCGCCCTTGATGCCGGCCCCAGCCCGGACTCCCTTCTCGATACCTCAGACCACATCACTCGCGAGGGGACGCGCTATTGGATCGTGCATTCCACATTGCCGGGGGAGCTGCGCCTCCGATATGCGACCCTTTTCTTCGAGCTCGTTGGTCTGGCCTCCTCGGCCATCACGTCGGCCGATCCCACGGTGCGTAGACACCTGCGAACATGTGCCCCCTCCCCCCCCTCCCATGAACCCACACACACACACACACACATGCACACCTGGGCGCGGGTACTCGTGCGCTCTTGACTGCCCGTCGTCCGACCGGTGGCGCTTTTCTCCCCTAACCGCCCTGTCGCGTCTGTCTTTTTTTCCGACTCTCCTCCGCTGCTCCTGGCCGATCCCTTTCCCCAGGATGAGCTGGCCTTCATGCGCGTCAGGACAGCCAAGTGGGAGTTCCTCATCGCCACAGGTGCGTGCCCCCCATGTCCTTCCCGGTATCCCGAGGACCATCGCCGATCTTCCCTCTTTCCAAGGCCTCCAGGCTAATCCATCCTCTGTGATATGCCCCCTCCCCCTGCACCCCCCCTCTCCCTTCCTTTTCCTGGCAAACACCGGGCCCTCGACATTCCCAAGAAAACGAGTATGTCCTCATCGTTCTCCAGAGCCAATCCACCCCGAAGAAGGGCTGATGCGCTTCTTCCAGGCATGCGCGTCTCCTCCCCCCCCCCCTGCGGGAACGGGATCTCGGAGGCAGTCTCCTCTCTCCTGCCTGCTGCGCGGGGAGGAACAAGCAGGAGGAGACGACGTGAGGCCCCCCGCACGCGGGGGCCGGCCGCCGGACATTTGTGGGATCGCCGCCCCCTCTCAAAAATGCAATATACCCCCAAATCACCCTGCTCACTTGTCCACAATCCCAATGGGTTGGAGCCCAGTCCCTCCCCCCCCCCCCCCCCGGGGGGGGGGGCAGCGGCCGATCAGACTGGGGAGGGCGTGCACGAGAACCCATGCTCGCGCTGATGCTCGTTGGGGGTAATTTTGTCCTCCAGCCAACCGGCAGAACAGGCCCACCCGCGGCCAAGGAGCCAGGGGCGCATGCGGGGCTATATATGCCAGCAAGGGGAACACAGTGACGAGGGAGTGGCATCTGGAAAGGAAAGAAAAAAAGAAGAAGCCAAAAACACTCGATTCGGGTCCTCCCAGGGCGTGGTCATGGATTGGGCGGGCCCCACTGCCGGGTTGGTTTAGCCCGGAGGAGTGATAACCCCCTGCCCATGGCGGGCGTACACCTCTTTTTCGGAGGCCGGGATCTTCGTGTGCGGCCCTGGGGACCGAGCGGCACAGCCCCTGGCCACCTCACGCACCCCTTTTCTTGTCTTGCCCTCTTGTGCTCCTCTTCCGCCCTCCTCCCTTCTCCGGCCCCCCCCCCCCTCGGCCACTCCGTCTTCCGGTTCTCTCAAGATGGCATCGACTTTCCTGTCGAGGATTTTCTCGGATGTTCTCCTCGAGAACACTGGGAGGTGCGCCATTGGCTCCCTTGCCATTTGTCTGTTGCTCTGATCCCTGCCTCTCCGCCCTCGTTCTCCCCTTTCTCCCCCCCCCCCTCTCTCGCTCTCTCTTTGTCATTAGCGAGGCCGAGTTGCCTCCTTGCCCCTTGCTCTGTCTTGCGCGGGCCCACTGACTCCTCCTGGTCTCTCCTGCTATTTGCCGCTGATCCGTCTCCAGCACGGCGAGAGATCACCTTGGTGCGCGGCACTCCGCTGGCCATTCCCACGCGCCGAGGGTGTCTCTTTTCTGAGACGCCCACGCGCCCCCACACCCACATCCTCCCTCTTTCCCAGACTCCCGCACGCTGACATACACGCACACACACACACACACACATACACGCGCGCGTTCGCATGCATATATGTCCACATACATGCGCACAACCGCCCACACAACAACCCGGCCAACCACCAGCAAATGAACGGACCTTTCTCGCGTGGCTACGCACGGCTTTGTCACTGACGGCTGTCGGCGTGGCGCTGGATTCCTTGGCATCTGGGGCCTTCCTCCCGCCGACTGGCGATCCGCCGGGTGCCACGCCGCCACGGACCTCCCCGGCCAAGTATGTGGGCTACATTTTCGTCGGCTTCGGGATAGTCATGCTTTGCCTGGCGACCTTCCGGTATTTCCGCGTCCAGTCCCTCCTTGTTCGAGTGCGTCCAATGGGTGAACACCGTGTCCCGGCCGTTCCTTTTTTCCTCTTTGCTCCCCTCACCCCTCCCCTTGGTGTCGGTGGCGGGCATCCCCTTCTTTTTTTTATTTATTTCCTTTCCCAAAGCGCCCCCTCAGCCCCAGACTGACCACGAGGCGCGTTCCTAGTCCAAATTCGAGGCTAGTCGGCTGGCCATTGGCTTGGTGGCTGCTTCGTCGATTGCCGCCATGCTGGCAGCGGTTTTTGCCGCCTCCTCCATGTAGCATCCTCCTCCGCATACACACTCTCAACTACTTTCTCCCCCCCTCCCCCCTACCCCCACCCCCTGAACAAAGCATGTGTCATGATATCCGTACCGGGACGGGGTGATGCGGGGCAGATGGAGCAGGGAGGCAGTCTCCAGGTGGAGAAGAAAAAAACAAAAGTATATTCCCAGTAACCGGGACAAGGGTGTACATGCGCCTGTGTGTATGCGCGCGTGCGCCACGCGATCGCACATGTTTTGACAGAGCTGCCATGCACGCTGACAAGGGAAGAAGAGGGGAAGAAGGGGGAAGAGAGGGAGGGGGGGGGATGAGGGTGGATGGACACTCGGACGATGACACACCGCACGGGCGCGCGTGGCGCCAGCAAACTTGAGAGTGGAGCACGCGCGCGTGCAAACGGGGCCCTGCCTAAGGTACCCCGTGCAGAGTGTGTCGGAGCAGGGGGCACATGCACATGTTTCTGTGGGAAGAAGGGACAAATGCACCCGTGCACATGCACATGCACGTGTGTGTGTGTATGGGATGTGCGCGTATGCTCGGAGGGCGGGGGGGAGGGGGGGGGGG